GATAACCCTATATGCAAAACAGAAAAAGAGACTCAGATGTATAGAACAGACTTGTGGACCTTGGGAGAAGGCGAGGGTGGGATGTTTCAAGAGAACAGCATCGAAACATGTATATTATCTAGGGTGATCACCAGCCCAGGTTGGGTGCATGAGACAAGTGCTCGGGCCTGGTGCACTGGGAAGACCCAGAGGGATCAGGTGGAGAGGGAGGTGGGAGGGGGGACTAGGATGGGGAATACATGTAAATCCATGGCTAATTCATTTCAATGTATGACAAAAACCACTGCACTGATGTAAAGTAATTAGCCTCCAACTAATAAAAATAAATGAAAAAAAAAAAGAAAATTTATGACCAACCTAGACAGCATATTAAAAAGTGGAGACATTACTTTGCCAACAAAGGTCTGTCTAGTCAAAGCTATGGTTTTTCCAGTAGTCATGTATGGATGTGAGAGTTGGACTATAAAGAAAGCTGAGTGCCAAAGAATTGATGCTTTTGAAGTGTGGTGTTGGAGAAGACTCTTGAGAGTCCCTTGGGCTGCAAGGAGATCCAACCAGTCCATCCTCAAGGAAATCAGTCCTGAATATTCATTGGAAAGACTGATGCTGAAGCTGAAACTCCAATACTTTGGCCACCTGATGTGAAGAACTTACTCTAAGGCCAGCCCTGCAGCAGGCCACTACCAACCCATGCCTCTACCAGAGACTCCTGGACAGTCACGGGCAAGTCTGGGTCAACCTCTTGTGGGGTCGCTACTCCTTTCTCCTGGGTCCTGGTGCATACAAGGTTTTGTTTGAGCCCTCCAAGAGACTGCAATAGATTCCCCAAGGTGTCTGCAATAGATCATGTCTCTGGTTTCTATTAAATCATACTCCAGGGGTCCCATTTCAGTAGGTAGCAGGGTGGTAGAATTCAGTACGTGGCAAGTTTTTATGGTAGACACTGGGTTCTTAAAGCATAGCCTGAATGTGAATCAACTGTCCAGGGGATAGCTATTCTGATAGCTATTAGACCTTATTAAAGTCTGGTGTGGTGTCAATATAGTGATTGGCTGACGAAATGTTGCCTGTTCAGCCTTTTTTAGCAAGGCTGCAGTAGCTGCTCCTGCCCATAGTCAAGAAGCCAACCCCTTAGTGTTATGTTAGAAACTCAGTCTTGTCAGATCTTCCAGACTCCATGAACTGTAGCCTGTCAGGATCCTTTGTCCATGGAACTCTCTAGGCAAGAATACTGAAGTAGGTTGCCATTCCCTTGTGAGCCATCAGGGAAGCCCTTAGCAGTCTGAGCTAATTATTTAGAGAAATAAGCAACCACCCAGGTAAGGGGTCTCAGGTTTTGAGCTAGTACTCCCGGGGTGATACCCCTTCTCTTCTGAATATAAGAGGTTCTTACCTTCCTTTGATCCTGAATGTAAAGATCAAAGGGTTTAGCTAGCTCTGGAAAGGTCAGGGCAGGGACCTAAAGTAATTGCTTTTTCAATTCTTCAGAGGCCTCATTCCATTCTGAATTCCATTCAAAAGGATCATCATCCTTTCCTTTCAACTTTTCAGGTAGAGGCATAGCTACTAAGCCACACGTAGTTAGTGATCCAGATGCCCAGCCATCCCCAGGAAACCCCTAAGCTATCTTCCCATTTTAGGAGGAGTGAGGCTGCAAATGGCTTCTTCCCTCTCCTCTCCTCTCCTCTCTTCTTCCTTCCTTCTCCTCTCTTCTATGAGAATGAAGCCTAGGTCGGTCACCTAGTATGAGATATTTGGGCCTTTGTGACCGTATTTTTGTCAGAGACCTCCTTAGTAGGACTGGTGATCAGAATGTTGTCTATAACTGGAAAAGGAATCTCTCTTCCAGATGTAGATTTTCTAGATCTTTAGCTAAATTCCCCCAAAATGGCAGGGGGTTTTTGAACTCTTGGGGTAGAACTGTCTGGCAGTATTGTTTTTATTGTGAGGATGGGTCCTGCCACACAAAAGCAACAAATTTCTTGTGACTCTGGAGCTAACAGAACGCAGAAGAAAGTGACATCTTTTAAATCTAATACAGAATGCTAGGTTCTGGTGGACAACAGAGTGGCCAGCAGGGTTTAGAGATTAGGGACTCCTAGCTTCATATCCTTGGGACTTCTTTGACTGCCCTGAAGTCCTGTACCATCTGGTATCCCCACTGGATTTCCTCACAGAGAGAATGGGGGTGTTAAAGGCTGAGTGGCACAGTCTAAGGCCCTGGTCAACTAGGCCCTGTTTAACAGGGGCAGTGCGCAACATGATCTCCTGACAGAAAGGGTACTGTTTCCTATTGGACCACGTGTGTCCAGGCTTCACTTTTTATTTTATTTATTTCCCTGGTGGCTCCTACAATGCAGGAGGCTTGGGTTCGATCCCTGGGTTGAGAAGATCCTCTGGAGAAGGCAAAGGCACCCCACTCCAGTACTCTTGCCTGGAAAATCCCATGGATGGAGGAGCCTGGTAGGCTACAGTCCATGGGGTCGCAAAGAGTCGGACAGAACTGAGCAACTTCACTTTCACTCTCACTATGTCTTTGTTGCTGGGCAGGCTTTTCTCTAGCTGCCGTGAGCAGGGGCTACTCTGGTTACGGTGGGAGGGCTTCTTATCGCAGTGGGTTCAGTTGTATGGAGCATGGGCTTTAGGGTGTTCGGCTTCAGTAGTTAGGGCACATGTGCTCTGTAGTTGCAGCTCCCCGGCTCTAGAGCACAGGTTCAATAGTTGTGGTGCATGAGTTTAGTTGCTCCACAGCAAGTGGGATCTTCCCGGATCAGAGATCAAACCCACGCCTCCTGCATTGGCAGGCGGATTCTTTACCCCTGAGCCAACAGGGAAGCCCATGTCCAGATTTTAGATGGCTCCTATAGCTTGTCCCACCTGTCCCTGGGCCCAGATACTGGGATTTATTTTGGGGAGCTCAGCGTACTCTGTCCAAGGAGGTTTGTCCTCAGCCATTAACATGATCATCGTGTGCCCTTTGTCTAAGGGGACACTGATCTCTGATTTATTTCCCATTAGGTGGATAGTACCCCTCATCTATGTAGGATATGTTGTCCTACCCTGGGGATAGGGCATTTGGTCACATTCAGGAAGGAATGGTTGAGAGTGTGTTCATTCAGTTTACATTCTAATGGCTCTATGAATGTCACTTTCCTGCCTTCCGTGACACACCCATGAGTTTATAATTCTTGTTACCACGTTTGCCTCATTTGGTGTTCAAAATTGGGTAAGTGGCAACTCTAGTGTCAACTAAGAATTTGACAGGCTTTCCCTTTTTCCAGTGGTTAAGAGTTCAGGTTTCCACTGCAGGGGGCACAGGTTCAATCCCTAGTCAGTGCGGGTGGAATGGAGCGGGGTGGTGTGTGGTGTGGAGAAGAAGTGCAAATGAGACGTGAAAACCTGGATGAGCCCTCCTTCTCCATCAAGGATCTGCCTTAAAGGGAATAGTTTTCCTGGAGGGTTGTTGGATTACCATATCTGTTTTGAAGGTCATGTTCTGATATAAGCCCATAAAAAACTGGACACAGGGAATTTCATCCCATTTCTTTTGGCTCTGGCATACCACATCCAATTGTAAAATGATATTTTAATTTAGAGATTTAGAAACCCATTGACTGGCCGATTTTCCCAGTCTCCCAACTGGCACTGAGGCTAGACTGTATTACAAAGGAAGATTAAATGTTTTGCCTCTTCACTCACCGAAGAGTTTTGTTAGCAGTTAGCATGGACAGGGGGTGATACCTATCGAAAAAACTACCAGGTCTGCATGATGCACCCTAATGGGTTCCTTTGGTATGGTGAACCTTAGATGTTCTGTTTTGGATTTGTTTCAAACTACTGAGAGGTGTGATTGGATTTGTTGGTGATTGATTTGTTGGCACACAAATGCCAGAAGATTTAACCCAAATAAGATTTCCCATTTAGGAAGTTTGGAATCAGCTCTAAACTGTTAATGGATTCCTCAAAAGACCAAAATAGGAGATATCCAAATGGAACGGACTCTGATATAACCGAGGGTCTCCCTTGAATTTGTAGTGGCCTGTGCTTGAGATAGTCCCTCCTCACTCAGAACTTCCACAGGTGGTTAGACAGGGCTGCCTCCAGGCCAGAGCAACTTAGTCACTTTAGTTCCTGACCAACTTGTCCATTAGGGAGCGCCACAGCTATGCAAGGTGGGAATCTTCTCTTTCCTCCAAAAAGGAGGGGCTTCTGGACTTCCTGCTGGGTGAGAGCTAAGAGCAAGAGGGGTCCCCATGGGATACTTTCCAGTTTGCTAGGGAGAGCCCATGGGAGCTCAGTCAATGAAGAATCACCCAAGCTTCACCTCACAAGCAGAAAAAGGAGAGAAGATCAGGCAGAGGGTGTCCCCTGCTCTTGCCAGCAGCTCACAGGTCTTCCTGGTAATGGGGTTCCTAGTCTTATGAGAGGCTCAGTGGGCTCCCCAGCCCGCTTCAGAGAAACTAGCGCTCACTGGAAGAGGTCAGGTCACCAGTTGCATACCTACCTTGGGACCCTCTCGCACTCGGGTTTCCCCAGTGCCCTCTCCTGAACTTGGACCAAATTGTCCTCATTCTGTTTTGTTAGGGAGGTCCTTATTACCTGGAGCTTCCCCCAGGGTTGCCTCTTGGCCCATAGGGCTGGCTACTTTCCTTTATAAACTGAAAACAACCGTGGAGAATGCTACTGCTGGCCCCTGGAGGTTGGGGAGAAGGCAAAAAGGCCTGCTGCAGCTGCTGCTGCTTGTGTGGGGGTCAAGAGGACAGCACTGGCTCTCCCTTCTCCTTAATCCTCCACCATCCTTGGGTACCCAGTACTGCCAGAAGGCCAGCCAGAGGCAGTGGGCAGACAGGTGCGAATTTCAGCCTGCCATCCCCCAAAATGCCACAGTATGATTCCTTCAAGGGAGTGCAGTACAGATTCCTCTGGGGGCTATGCTGTGTGTGCATACCACATAGGACCTTCTGGTTGCTGGGCAGAATTGCTTTGAATTTGGCCCAAAGCTGCTGTGGGTCTATATCATCAGAATGTACATCAGAATGTCAATCATTCTTACTCAAACCTCCCAAAGCTTCTATTACATCTCCTTAATGGTAGATATTTGAGCAAAGAAAATCTAGTAGTGTCATAGCTTTAAGTCTCAGGATGCCCCTGTTGCTACAAACTTTTTTTTCTGGCAGCCACTTGGTAGGAGTTTGTTCTTAGTGTTTCCGCCACTACTGGGAAGGGGTAGAATTAGTAGACAACAAACACAATTACTTCCAAAAGAGACCATGGGTATTAATTAGGTCATTACTCCCAAATTCACAGATGAACAAATGATAATCCAGAGAGGGAAGGTACTAGTCCTGCCCTCATGAAGTCAGTTAGTGTTAAGGCAAAACGCTGTCTAAGTCTCTTGGCTCAAAGGTGTGGAGCTGAAAGCAGAAAGAACATGAAGTTACACAGAATTGACTTTGTACGTGTTTTCTGGAAAAATTGGGGCATGTTACTTAAGTAACCTTGGACTGCAAGGAGATCAAGCCTGAATATCAGTCCTGATAGGAAATCAGTCCTGAATATTCGCTGGAAGGACTGATGGTGAAGCTGAAGCTCCAATACTTTGTCCACCTGATGTGAAGAACTGACTGCTTGGAAAAGACCCTGATGCTGGGAAAGATTGAAAGCAGGAGGAGAAGGGGATGACAGGGTGATATATCATCACTGACTCGATGGACATGAGTTTGAGCAAACTCTGGCAGTTGGTGATGGACAGGGAAGCCTAGCATGCTGCAGTCCACAGGGTCTCAAAGAATCAGACACGACTAAGTGACTGAACTGAACCTGTGTCTTCTTTCCATCTTTAAACTTTGCAGTCTAATAAATACCTTACAGAGTTGTTCAGAGGATAAGATAAAATGAAAAATGGAATTACAGTAATGTGCTGGTAAATGCATAACAATTATCTCTTGGAGTTGATGAAGGAGCTAGAATTTATACCATCTGATGATTTCTATGGTATAAAAATTCCTCCTGGTGTCAGTTTCAAGATTTCAACAGTTTGAAAAATGGCTGGCAAGTTTCCTGAATATTTAACAATCACCTCTCACAAGCCCATGTGAGCTGGCACAGGCTGGCTCCAGCACACCACTGAATGTGAAACACTTAGCATATAATAGATACTCAATAAGTTTTAGTTGCCCTCTCATCCTCACAAGGCACAGGTTCTTTCTACTGTCTGTGTAACTGTTGTTTGATGAACACTATCTCTTTGAACTTCCCAAGAAATGATCAGTCATTGTTGTAATCTATGTAAATAAAATGAACTCTCTCATGTGAAGATGGCTGCACAGCATCTCACTATTTTAGAGGGTATTTTAGATGTGTGAAGTCCCCAGAATTCACCTTACGGGACCTCTGTGACTTCCCGAAGAGATAGGTTGACATGGTCTGTAGCAACTAAGACTGAGGTAAATTTAAAGCCTGTGGAGACCATAAAGCAGAAAAGAAATGGGGATTTCAAATAAGAACCTTGGATAAAAGGCAGATACTCTGAATTACAATTGAGCTCTTTCTCACATACACAACTTGATGTAACGTACTCCAGCATGGGTAGAAGTGACACATTTACTTACTGTTTCTTAGTGATTCCCTTGAACAATTCCCATTAGGGCAGCTGTCCTATTTGTTTGTTTGCCTGCTTTCTTTATTTATTTTTTTTGCCTGCTTTCTTTAAAGGTGGACCATACACAGCCATTTCTGTCCAAGAAGGAGTAACTGGTACAGAATTGCCCTGCCACCGTAAACAGCTAGAAAACTGGACAACACATGTGAAACGACTTTTTTCAGACGTTGGGGTCACAGTGTGCTCAAGACTGTGGTTCCAAGAGAATAGAAAAAATTGAAGTGAGTCCTCAATTTTCTGTCTGGAAGTAAGGTTGCCAGATAAAATATGGAATGCACAGTTAAATTTGAATTTCATATACATAATCATTTCTTAGTATGAATATATATAAAAACATAATATTGGATTTGATTTGTTAAATCCAGCAACCCTTCCTAGAGGCATTTTTTAAGATTATTTATTTTTGACTGTACTGGGTCTTCATTGTTGCATGTGGGCTTTCTCTAGTTGTGGCAAGCAGGGGCTACTCCCTAGTTGCGATGCGTGGGCTTCTCATTGCAGTGGCTCCTCTTGTGGCAGAGCATGGGCTTGAGGCACGCAAGCGTCAATAGTTGTGGGATACAAGTTTGTCGCCCCGCAGCATGTGGACTTTTCCCAGAACAGTGACTGAACCTGTGTCCCCTGCATTGGCAGGCAGACTCCTAACCCCTGGAGCACCAGGGAATTTCCTCATAATTGCTTTTTAATCAGAATAAAGAAGAAACACATTTTTGCTGCTAAAGGCGCTAAATTTATATCAAAGAACCTTTGACTTAACTTTTACATTATTCTCTATAGCTGTTTTCTTTCCACGTTCCCCTTGAAACACATGAAAAAACCTGTGTTTTATTTTTAATGTTACCACTTGTCTCACCTTTCTTCCTTCACTTTCCTCTCTTTCATTTGAATCCCATTTAAAATCATCTCTCCTAAGTTAACAATAGAACGTTTTACCAAGTTGCTATATTATTCCTACTTGGAAAATAAAAATAAACAGTAACCACCAAATAATCTATGTTTATTATCTCGTGGCAAAAAGTAAAATCTCTTGTATCAGGAAATGACTGATTTGTTTATTCATCGTAAGGTTAAACAGAGTCCAACCTGTTCTAACACAGCTGTGTTGGTGGGGCAGGGCTGGCCAGCTTTGTTTATTTAAATTAGCTGATTAGAATTTGGACCCCTCAAAAAGTATGTTCTAAAAAGCATGTGGTAGGAACAGTACAGAGAGAATACGTTTTCTCCTATTGTCATGCTTTCAACTTGACTGGTGAACGAAATAAGAGGGCATGACAGGGCATTCCCTGTCACTATCATGTCCAATATGATATGAGGTTACATCATGTTTTTAATTCAAACACAATTAGTCATGTCCATGCTTTAGCATTTTTGGAAAAAAGAAAAAAAACTTTAGAGAATGAAAAGATTCTGAAGAAGATATGAAAAACTAAAATCAAATTCAAATCAAACTGTCTGCCTCAACCCTTAGCAGATTCAGGTCACACTGTCTTGGAAGGGACTAAAATCTCCTAGATTAGCTTCTTATGAACAAGATGAGAAACCAACTGAATCCTTGCTGAAAATCTTTTGCCTATACCCTGAGGGTTGCCGCAAACTTTAAATTTGTGAAAAATGCAGTATCTATGAAGCACAATAAGGCAAGATATACCTGTACTAAAATAGTACATTAAATAAATAGCTACAATTTAGTTTTAAATGCTCACATACTGTTTGCTCTCAACCTATTTAGAGAATGGAAAACATTTTTCGTTGTGATGGTTGTAAAAAACGAGTCATACTGGTGGCTTAGAAACAAAGTCTCCCCTCAAAAGTCATCCTCTGAAACCACTTCAGTGTCTTGCTGGTTGAAGGAGTTACATTACTATTTGCTTAGCAGATGTAAACTTCTCTGAAACTAAGCCATTAATCCTCAAGTATTTTTACCTCCACTAAACCTAACACTATGACAGGGATGCTATAAAAACAATGGTCTTAAACTTTTTTTTAAAAATGTGATTCACCTGAATGTGTAATTGATTTCTCTTTTAGAGCATTTCCTAATGACAAAACTTAGTACAAGATTTTCCTCCTTGTGGTGCACTGGGTTTCTTAAATCTGTAAGTTTATGTCTTTTGCCAAACTTGGGGAATTTTTGCAGTTATTTCCTTGAGTACATTTTTCAGCCCTGCCCTTTTTCTCCTCTCCATCTGGGATTCTGATGACATGAATATGGTATCCTTTGTTATAGTCCTACAGGTTCCTAAGGTTCTGTTCATTTTTCTTTCTGTCTGTTTTCTTTAGGGTTGTTCATATTGGGTAATTTCTGTTATTCTCTCGTAAAGTTCATTGATCCTTTCCTCTGGTCTCTATATTCTACTGTTGAACCCATTGATGAAGGTTTTATTTTGATTTTTGCATTTGTCCTGTTCTGAAGTTTCCATTTGGTTCTTCAGATATAAATATCTTCTATTTCTTTGCCAAGGTTTTTAATTTGTTTAATTGGTTTTAACTATGTTTGTAATTGCTTGTTGAAGCACTTTTTATGATGGCTACTTTAAAATCCTTGTCAGGTAATTCCAGCATAAACATAATCTTGGAACTGATATCTGTTGATTATCTCTTCTCATTTGAGATTTTCCTGGTTCCTTATGAGTGAGGTTCAATTGTATCTTGGACATTTTTCCTACTATATTGTGAGATTCTGGATCATATTTAAATCTTCCATTTTAGCAGGTCTTCTAGGGAGGATGGAGCTTGCCTGGTAGTTCAGATGGTAAAAAATCTGCCTACAATACAGGAGACCTGGGTTCTATCCCTGCATCAGGAAGATCCCCTGGAGAAGGGCATGGCAACCCACTCCAGTGTTCTGGAGAATCCCCATGGACAGAGGAGCCTGGTGGGCTACAGTCTGTATGGTCGTAAAGAGTCGGACACGAACGAGTGACTAAGCACAGCACTAGGAAGGATGGTGATGTTTTATTGTATCACTGTCAGGTCACGTGGATGCTTATAGTCCCTACTTGGCCTGTACTGAACCCTCGAAAGCAGAGGGGCATCTCATTTTTGCCGGATAGGAGTGGGGGTTCAGACTCTCCTCTAGGCCTATGCTGACGTTACTGGGGACTGGGAAGCCTACTTATGGCTGAAACGCCGTAAAGGTCCCAGCTTCCAGCCCTCTGGGTGGGAGTGGCAAGTCCTGGCTCCCCACCTGGTCTTTACGGACAACCTGGGGCAGAGGTTGGGGGTAGTCTCATCCCCATATGGTGGGGATAAAAGTCTCAACTGCCTACTGGAAGGGAAGAGAAGTGCCTTGATATAGCTGGGCAAGCACATATGTCTAGGCTTTCCACTCATAATTTTCTGTGGAGTTTGGCTGAAGAAGAGCAATTACTGTCTAAAAGTTTTATTTTGCTAAGCTGCCCCTTTCCTTTTCCAGTAGCTACAGATAAATGATTTTTTTCTAGGATTTTTTTTTTTTTTTTTTTTGCCTATACCTGTTTCTAGGCTGCCTGCTTCTCCAAAACCCAGTCTGGACTATATTTGTTTTATATACAGTGTCCAGGGCCTTTAGCTGCCCTTAGCTAGCTTAGAGGAGCAAAGAGATGTACGTTTACTCTTTTGCCCTGGAATTGGAAACTCAATATCAAATCCCTACAGTTCTACTCTCATTGCCATGGCATTGTAAGGCAGCTGTTCCAAGAAGGAAAATGAACATTTGAGCCTATATACTTTTATTGCTAATGCTCACTACCCCTAGGTCCCGGTACGTTGCTTTCTTGTATTCCATAAACTCATTATACTTGAATATTCAATTGATACTCATACATAATTTATCTCATCACTTCAAAATCATTTGTTTTCAGATTTTCAGGCCTTTTAAAATGAGCTCTAAATCATCTGAGGTAGGGTGCATTGCAAATTTTGGTAAGAGTCAAACTGGCTCTTTAGACGGATTTCCATTCTCTTCCTGGGACTGTAGTGAGGACTGTTAGTGAGGACTGTTCATTATCAGGTGCTGGGCAAATAAGCTAGGCTTTCTGATAGACACAATGCCCCATCCTTTAGCTGTGAACAAAGCCTCTGCCTTACCTGCTCTAATCGTGGGACACATTAGTATATGCTTCAGGGTAATTGGATATCTCTGCCACCTTGAATGGCTGCAGCACTGATTAAATCTGGATACTGAAGATTAAAATAGGAAACTAAGGAGTTGTGAGAAGAGGCCCAGCATTTGCCTACTTAACCAAACAGTTAGTGACCACTAAGTGGATGTATTTCTTCTCAGAATAAGAGTTTTAAATTCCTTGGATCAAATAAGCTTTATAAAATATGTTGGTCTTGGTCTTACTGTAAGCCAAGTCTGATTTAGACGTAAACAGTTTGTTCGCATCAAGACAAATAACAAGAGAACACCAAAGCACACCCTGGTTTCTTAATCCACAGCACTGACCCTTTGTTTCTGGCCTCACCAAAATATTAATATTTTAGAAAATATTGCTATTTTTAAAAATGAACGTGATGATGAACTGGTCACTGTGCCAGAACACTGAACTGGGTTCCATCCTCCTCTTTGCCAAAGCTGTTTGCTCAGCTTAGCAAGTCTCCCAGCACTACTGCAACCCAGGGTTCATGTCCACTAGGCGAAGAGTCTAAGCCAGCCCTCACTCGAATTTTTATACATCCCCAACAAGTATAGCTTGAGTGTGTGATGTTCTTTGAGTTGCTTTTTTTCCCTTTTTAAACATTTACTGTAATTTTCCTAATACTTAAAACTTTTTTCTCCTTGATGTGGAAATTGATTTCCTAACTGCTAATTCTCCTTTTTCAACTGTGCTCAATTTTAACAAAAGACAAGCATTCTATAAACAGCCACATCCCTTTTGCAAAACACCATCATGTCATGAGAAGACTCTTTATTGAAATTCCTCTGTAAGTAAAAATAAAATCTGGAAACTTATTTTTTATAATTTTATTTATTTATTTTTATTTTTTTGCTGGGTTTTTGTTGCTGCGTGGGCTTTTCTCTAATTGCAGCAAAGAGGCTACTCTCTCATTGTGATAGGCAGGCTTCTCATTGCAGTGGCTTCTCTTTATTGCAGAGCACAGGCTCTAGGGCAAGGGGGCTTTAGTACCCGCTGCACTTGGGCTCAGTAATTGCAGCTCTCGATATCTAGAACTCAGGCTAGATAGTTGTGGCACACAGACTGAGTTGCTCCATAGCAAGTGGAATCTTCCTAGACCAGGGATTGAACCCATGTCCCCTGCATTTGCAGGTGGATTCTTGACCACTGAGCAACCTGGGAAGCCCAAAATCTGGAGACATATTTAATCCTGTGATGGATTAAAGAAAAACAAAACTCATTAAAAGGCCAAGATTCATGCTCCTCCTTTGCCATATGCTATGAGATCTTAGTTAAGACACTTACTTTCCCTGGATCTTTGCTTCCATATCTAGAAAGTGAACAAGCTAAATTAGATGCTTTCTTAATGATTTTTAATCCTATAACTCTATGTCAAATAGTCTTTCAACTGTTCACTCAGAAGTCTCAAATCCTTAGAAGAACCAATAATTTTTAATATGCAAATGAAAAAACTGGAACTCAGATAAGCTAAGTAACTTGCCCCAAATCACAAAACTAAACTGTGGAATAGCTGTTCTCTTACCCAGGCCTGTCTGATTCCAAAGCTCATGCTTTTAGCTCTACCTCCAGTGGAGTTCTCCCCTTTCAGGAGAAGAAACTCTGGTTTCCATAACTTTATAAATTATGTAACTTTATAAAAGACAGGATATACATACACACACACACACAGGAAAGCCACTTAGGAGAAAGTACTGGCTGCTTGGGAGTTGGCCTCTATACCTGGTCCTTCAGTTAGCTGACAGTAGTTCTCAAACTCTGACCTGGACCAGAAGGATCAATAACATCTTCAAGATTGTCAGAAATGCAGATTCTTAGGCCCCACCCCATGCATACTGAATCAGAAACTCTGGGAATGGGACCCAGCAATCTGTATTTTTAACAAGCCCTCTAGGTGATTCTGTTATACACTACAGCTTGAGAAACACTGCATTAAGATGTGTAACCTTGGGAAGTAAGGTAAGAACGCTGAGCTCCAGTTGCCAGCTCTGAAAGCCTACAGTCCTTCTATGACCTAACACCTGAATTATTAATAGGTGGATAAATCAGATTCATATCCCTAATTCTAAGAACTGATATCCAATAAAGGGAAGGAGAAGGCAGATGAGGACAAAGAAGTCAGCCCTCTTCATATAGCTCCCAATTAGTCAAAGCAGCAGTTTTATTTGTGATGATTTAAGGGAGTAATGCCTGTGACATTCCAAAATAGATCATCTTTTTCGGAGTCACTCTGAATGTGTCTAGCTCTTTGGAAATTAAAAAATTTATTAGGCAACTTGGAGTTCAGCTCAAAGAAAGAATCAATTAAAAATATGCATTCTGTTTCTTCAGTCTTGCTTTAAGTCATTCAAGAGACAGTTTCTGGGAATGGAGTCTAATAGGTCATTTTTGCAAATTGGAACAAAGTAATATCTCACTTCCCAGGAGTTGAAACCTCTCCTCCTACCCCCACCACCTGAGGAAGTGACATGTATTTTGGGATTCATTTCCACAAGAAATGACATAACCAGCCTTCCGGGTAGCTTCAGAAAGTCATGTTTCCCCAGCTTAGCAATGACTCAGCAGATGGCAGTTGAGTATGAATGGCCTTGTGTACCATGCTGGCGCCAAGGGTTATATTTTCATATTTATTAAACATTTTACTTGCTCACAGCCTAAGTCCCTATAACTCTATTCTTATGTTGTACATGACTTGGGTCAGAAACCTCCTCATTAGGCCTAGCCTTAAGGTTAGAACAAATGCTATTTTTCACTTGTGAGATTGAAGCTACCATCATTAAAACATCTGGTGCAGGTAATCATTCAATGAATGTTGTCAAATAAAATAGTGAGTTAACTAAAGCAGTGTCCAGACTTCAATTTAGCTTGTAAATAACAGTGATGGTTGCTTACCATTTCGAACACAGACACTTACCTATTGCTTTCATGATGGAGAATGACAGGTTCTTAGCATGGAGCAAAATGTCTCCTCAGAACTGGGGCTCAGACTTTAGCCCTGCAACAGGTTGATGTTCAAGAATCATATGTCCTACCTTGAAATAACAGACTGGGACAACTGATTATGGCAGATAAGTGGAGAAATAAGTAAAACCGTACTTTTAAAATCAAATATTTTATAGATAAAAAATAATTTATGGGTGTCATTTATATATAAAATATTAATAAAATATAGACAAGTTATAAAGAATATAATAAAAGAAACATTGTGTGCCCACTAATATAAATAAAATTTCTTTATATATCAATATATATGTATATACTGTATGTAAAGTATCTCTTTATCCAGAAATTGCTACTATCTTAATTTTTATTTTCCTCTTGCTTTTCTTTATGGCTTTATTACAAGTCTATATATATGCATGTACAAAATATATTATTAACTTTGTTTTTAAACTTTATATGTAAGGTATTATATATACTTGTAGTATTCTTCTGCAACTTGCTTTTTTTTTTCAATTTAACATTATGTTCCTGAGAACAAATCCATTTTGTCATATACAGCTGTGGTTCATTTATTTTTACAGCTGCATAGTATTCTATTGTATGAACATACCTTAATCTATTCTTTGAGTCAGTGATCATTTGGATTGTTCCCCTTTTTTGACCATTACAAATAGTGCTATCATGAACATCCTGATACATATCTCTTGATCACTCTATAACTGCCTAGAAGTATATAAGTTTCTGAGTCACAGAGTATGCACATGTCCACCTTGGTAAGGCAATGATAAATTCTTTTCTAGAGTTTGGACCAGTTTATACTGGTATCAGCAAGAGCTAAGTATTTACATATCCTCCCAGCATTTGATGTTGTCATACTTTCTTTTGTCTGCCAGTCTGCTGGGTGGAAAGTGCTATCTATTAGTTTTAATTTGTAGTTCCTACATAATTAATATGGTTGAGCATCTTTTCATGTGTTTATTGGCTTTTCTGATTTCCTTATCTATGAAGTAAATACAGTTCATATCTCTCTTAACTTTCTCAACCCTTTTATATCCACATGTAGGTGAGGAGTTGGAGATACATGAGTAGTGCTGAGGCAAATGAAAAGGAATGGACATGATGAATGTTCCAAGAAGAGAAGACACTGTGATTGAAAGGCCAGAAATCACTGAAAATGTGGTGTGTTGGAGAAACCAATAGAACTTCCATGCTATATGATGCTAAAATGGAAGCTTTGACTTTAAGGTAAGAGAGATCTGAATTTGAAGCAAGTTCTAAACAGACTATGCTATAGTAATTTCAAAGTATATATCCAGAAACTAGCGATTTAACTCTTGAATTCCAAGTGAGGAAATGACTTGTGGAGATGACTGGATAGAGAGTTATTTACACCACTGCCTCCCAGGAAGAGGTAGATGGGTTATTTCCTTTCACCGCATGATGAGAGAGGAGGACTTCAGTGGGACAAGTAGAATTAATATGTACACTGAGGAGTTTAGGAGACATGGTGAACTGACATCAACTCATGCTTTAAAAACTGGAGTTAAATGCAGTTACGGAGCCAGCAAAGAGGTCAACAGACATTAGCTTGAAGTTACATTTGGTATGGCGTCTTTATACAATATGAGCTGGGAAAGAAGTTTAATCCTTTTCTTACCTCTCCTCTCTTCCCTGCTTCAAACCAAACTTAGCACAGTAGAGTGGGGCATGAGAGGTGTGAGCAATATGTAGGAGAAAACAAGAAGCAACTATGACCCACCCCCTTCCTTCATAAGCAGCCAGCCCACACTGGACTCCAGCAAGAGGGAGGGGCACCATTCAATTTTAAATCAAGTTGAGTGTTTTCGGTGTCATATGCGACTGGATGGTTTGAAATATTGAACTGAAAATGTGTTGACACTGGAAGTGACCATAAGATTTTCTATTACCCTATAGGGAACTGAAAAGTTATTGATACTGCAGGCATTTTCATCCAAGCACTAGAGAAGAAACAGGTTAAAGGGACAGTGGGAGACAGATACCATTTCTGGATGATGTTCTGATTTTCAAAAATGATAGAACTAGTGAGCAGCAAGAGAAGAGGTTGTAAAGAAGGTGGCAAAGGCCAAATCTGAAGGCAGAATGAGTCATAGGAGGATTTGGGACTTTTCCATAAAGGAAAGGCCTTTCTAGGCCCTAGAAAGCTGGTAAAGAGTTCTAGGTAGGGAAAATTTGTCATCAGAATTGTGCTTTTTGAAAAATCCTTCCGGTTTCAGAGTAAATGGTAATGTGAAGGGCAGCAGGGTCAGGAGTCACACAGAGGAGGCCATGATTTAGGAAAAAGTAGGTGATGGCTTGGTCTCGATTAGTTGCGGTGAGAATAAGGAAATGGAAGGTTGTGGGGGAAGTCATAAGTTTGAGAACAAGGATAATGGATCTCAAAGTAAAAAATGACTTACACATTTCTGATTTGAACCACTAAGTAATCAGCAGCACTATTTCCAGAAACTAGGAATTCTTTTGATCTTTTACTCTTTTGGAAGTATACAGGGTAAACAATAGTGTCTCAGTATGACAGATACGGTGACTAATATTCAAGAAAACCATGTAATTTGCTGAAGCCCACATAACTCATTACATGCTGAGAGCCGTTGTCACCTTCTTGCAGTTTCTACTTCGAATGACAATGCTTGAACTAGCCTTTTCGATAGTATTTAGAATCAAATGCCCCACTGCAGGTGAAGTTAAGAGTATAATTTAAAGGAAGAGAAACTGGATTCTAATATAGTCCTGAAGCTTAAAATATTTATACATCCAACAATTTCAGCAAAACATAATTATGCTTCTTGGAACATGGAAACATTTCATGAAACCCTAGATTTTAATACAGTTGAGAAAACTCTGAACTGGCCTAGGAAACCTTTTGTTTCTCTTCCAGCCACAGTATTCATATTTGGCAATTTGTCTTTTAGAGCAGTATTCCTTAAACCTTAATATGCATGTGAATCACTTGGGGATCTTGTTAAAATGCCAGTTCTGCTTCAGTAGGTTTTGGGTGGGGCTCAAGATCCTGCATTTTTAGCAAGCTCCCAGGAGATACCCAGGCTGCTCCTCTGAATTTTGAAAAGGGAAGGTTTTAGATGAGCCCAGAACTTCTCAAAGTTGATGTGGATTCTGAAGGAGACCAGAGGGTAAGGACCGAAAGGAATCCCAGAAATGTAATTATGTTGGGGATAAACAGATCTAACCCTTGGGAAATGATGAAGTAGACAAACTTTGCCAGGCCTATTTCCCTACTTTACAAATTCCTTTTCTCATTCAGCACCTGCCCATGCCTCAGTCCATCTTTCTTCAGTTTAACTCACTAATCCTTGCCTAGGGGTAGACTAGAAGGTGGTTTTTCCTGTTACCCTTCTCTGTAAGCTGTATTTTCAACTGCTGTTTCAAATTTCAAGACCCAAAGAACAATTAGCTTTAACATGGAATAAGAGACGATACTTTAATATTTGGGAAAAGGGGATCCTGCTCAGTCCTCCTTCAAAGCTGACATAAATCCTGGAGAAGTGGCTTGTCTTATAGGGAATACTTTATCCTGCTTAATTTCCCCTGCCTCCTAAAAATCAATCTTTAAAATATACCAAATATTTAAAAGGAAAGAATTTCTCTTCAAAGAATATCTGTTAGCAACTTTGCCCATGCTCTCCTTAGTCAGAAGTGCTATGGAGGGTAATGGCACTATTGAAGTCTCAGGGAGTTAAGGGGTAAACAAGTGGAGATGGATTGAATTACACTGAATTGTTCCAATTAGTCTTGCTGAATTTAGAGCCAGGAAATGTTAGGTTTTGCTCTGGGTTTGGCCATTTACTTTCTCTGTGACCTTGGACAAGTCATTTTACAGCTTTAGTTTCAGTCTCTGCACAAGTGAAATGAAGCAACAGGACAAAATGATTTCTAAGTTTCCTTCTTGTTCTGAAAACTGTATCTGAAACTGTTTCAGGTGAACAGCAACAACAAAAAAGATAATTTTTAAGCTGTCGGTTTTTACACTGGCTGATCATCAAAATCACTTCGGAGAGCTTTATAAAAATATGGGTCTTCTCCTACCCTGTTCTGATCATAGATGCAACCTTGGAAACTATTTCATAAAGTTCTCCTGGTAAAGTCTGTCCATCAGGGTCAATTTGGAAATGACTAAACCAAGACCAAAAAGTGGTGCCTGGGAGATGCTGATTTACATCAATGATTTAAAAACACTTCGAATATTAAAATACAAATAAAATTGGTTTACCATTTCCATATCTAATTTTATTTCATAATTTGAAATAAATTTGTGGTTGACAGCATTTCTTACTTTTTGGTGTTTGGGGTTTAATTTTCTTCTATGTGAACTGAAACTATATTATCCTAATACATATATATATATGTATTATATATATTATATATATATGTGTGTATATAAATTTCCAGTATTACAAAGATATAGAATTAATGTAATCTTTAGCATTCAAGGACTTCCCTGATAGCTCAGTTGGTAAAGAATCCACCTGCAATACAGGAGACCTTGGTTCGATTCCTGGATTGGGAATATCTGCTGGAGAAGGGATATGCTACCCACTCCATTATTCTTGGGCTTCCCTTGTGGCTCAGCTGGTAAAGAATCTGCCTTCAATGCGGGAGACCTGGGTTGGAAAGATCCCCTGGAGAAGGCAAAGGCTACCCGCTCCAGTATTCTGGCCTGGAGAATTTCATGGGCAGTATAGTCCATGGGGTCCCAAAGAGTTGGACACGACTGAGCGACTTTTACTTTCACTTTCACTTTTCACTTTAGCATTCAAGCTAAGGTTGGAGGTTTAGAGAGTGACACTATCTCCTGATGTTATTAAAGGATGAATATTCCAAATTTTCTAAGATAGTCTCTTGACCCATGGCCCCCACATTTTTCTTGTCCCTTTCTTTTTTTAATTGCAGTATAATCGATTTATAATATTGTGTTAGTTTCTGGTGTACAGTAGAGTGATTCAGTTTTACATGTATATAGATAGATTATTTTTCCATATAACAAAGATACTGAGTATAGATACAATAAGATGACTACAAGATATTGAATATTGTTCTTTGTGTTATACAGTAAGTCCTATTGCTTATCTATTTTATTCATGTTGTTTTGCTTCATTTATTCTTTTAATTTGGACCTTTTTCCTTTTTCCCTTCTTTTTCTCTTTTGGAACCCTTAATTTTGTTTCCCTTTTTTTTGGTTTTTTTTTTTTTTTTTTTTTAGTTTCTTTTTTTTTTTGTTTTGGCTTCCCCTTTTAGTTGTTTTCTTTTTTTTTTTTTTTTTTGCTTTCTTTCCTTTGTTTTTTTTTTTGTTTTCTTTTTCTTGGTTCCAATTGGGATTTTTTCTTTTTTATGACTGAGTAATATTCCACTATGATTGCTGTCTGTCTTGGCAGTGCCTCCGCTATTTAGTTGCCCAGTTCCAAAACCTGGATTCTATTCTTCCCTGTCCTTCAGAGAGAGACCTGGATTCTAGTCTTTCCTGCTCTTCAGAGAGAGAGAGAGAGAATGATAGAGCAAATGGGACAAAATGTTAAGCATGAATCTGGTAAATGATATGCTGGTATTCTATGTACTTTTCTTATTGTTGTTGCCAGTTTGAAATAATTTTAAAAATGAAATTAAGCAATCAAAGCAAAAACATCATTGGCTTCCTCAGAATAATGTCCAAAGTCCTTACCTACTTCTTCAGACTCACCTCCTGCTGTTTTTCTCTCTGGGGTTTAGGCTTCAGTCATAATGTGTGTGTGTGTGCTCAGTCGCTCAGTTGTGTCCAACTGTTTGTGACCCCATAGACTGTAGACCACCAGGCTCTTCTGCCCGGGGAATTTTCCAAGCAAGAATACTGAAACGGGTTGCCATTTCCTACTCCAGGGGCTCTTCCTGATCCAGGGATTGAACCAACATCTCTTGCCTCCCCTGCACTGGCAGGTGAATTCTTTACCACCGTGCCACGTGGGAAGCCCTTAAAACATGATTCAATCCATTACCTTTACACTTGCTGTTCTCTAAGTTAGAATGCTATGGTCTTCATCTACTGTCTACCTAGAAAACTCCTATTTATACTTTCGTACCCAGTATATAATCCCTCCTGTGTGATGCCTATGTTATTTGACAGACTTAATTACCTGACTTTCCTGGACTGTGTTTCTCATTTTGACTCTTGTGCCTGAGAAATGGAATATTTCCCACCATATCAGTCAACAACAGAT